ATTACAGGCATGAGTCCCTGTGCCTGGCGTGATAGTCAATTTTATGTGTCAACTTGGCTAGGCTACAGTCCCATTATTCAATCAAACACAAATCTAGGCATTGTGTGCAGGTGTTTTATAGATGTGATCAAAGTCCATAATTGGTTGACTTTAAGGGAGATTATCCTAGATAATCTGAATGGGCTTGGTTCAATCAGACCTTGAAAGGCCTTCAGAGCAGAGCTGAGGATTCTCTGAAGAAACTTCATCTGTGGGCAGTGCGGCATTTGGTAATACCGAAGCAAGTTTTATCTTGCTTTTTCTGGTCTGCCCTACAGACATCAGATTTGCCTGCCCAGTCCCCACAATCACACAGGCCAATTCCTTGCAATAAATCCCTTAACATTTATCTCCTAGTTGTCTTTGTCTTGGTTATAGTCTGGCTAATATAGGCTTTGGTTCTGAAAGTGGTTCTAGAAGAACAGAATCTTAAAAATGAGTATTTATTTATTTATTTATATTTTAAGACAGGGCAAAACCCCATCTCTACTAAAAATACAAAGATTAGCCGGGTGTGGTGGCACACGCCTGTAATCTCAGCTACTCGGGAGACTGAGGCAGAAGAGTGGCTTGAACCTGGGAGGCAGAGCCTGCAGTGAGCTGAGATCACACTGCACTCCATACACTGCACTCCAGCCTGGGTGACAGAGCGAGACTGTCTCAAAAAAAAAAAAAGGTAGGGAAAGAAAAGGATGAGTTCAGGGCTTCAAATTCCTAGCTCATGTTTTGCATAAATGATCTGAAAGCTTCTCTCTCTGCCCTGAGAAAAACTCTTATCTCCTGTGGTTACAGGACTGAGATTTCTGAAAACAAAATCCAGGGTCTCATCCTCCAAGTAGCTAAATTCCAATATAAATTCAATTCTCAATCTTGCAGGATCTTTTGTTCAAGCAAGGGCATCGATTGGGAAGGAATGGGATACTGATAATTGGAATTGGGATGTATGGGCAGATCCTGATGAAGCTGGGATCATCAAACGCCTAAATTCTGCCAAGTCTTCTTTGCCAAAAGTAGCCTTTCCTGTCTGAGCAGATTGGCCACACTCTGCTGGAATAAACCTCATAGGCCTCTTCTAAGTTGCCTTGCAAGGTTCTGCTGATTCTCCTCAGGACCTACCCCTGCCACTCCTCTTGGCTTCTCAACCTATAACGAGACTCAAGTCCCAGCAGGCCCCAAAGGATAAGGTATAAAGTATGATCCATGAGGAGATATATTATATTCCAAAAATCCTGCACGATTTTTCCAATTTCTATAAATAGAAATCTGGGGGAATGTGTGTAGATGGATCTTGAAACTCTAGGATTGCCCGGTGTGATGATGCCTTCAGTCCCAGAAGGTTGAGGCAGGAGGATTTCTCAAGCCTAGTTCACTTGAGGCCAGGAGTTCAAGACCAGCCTGGGAGACATAGTGAGCTCACCAGCTATATAAAAAAACAAAACAAAACAAAAACCGAGCAGCTTTTCTAGTGACTCAGTTAGTGGACCCAAGTGAGAATATGTTGCCTCCATAATCCAAAGAGATAAACTAGGTGTCGTGTCTCGTTTTTGGTTGCAGGAGGGGCCAGATCGACAATTTTTTTTTTTTGAGACGGAGTCTTGCTCTGTTGTCCAGGCTGGAGTGCAGTAGTGCGATCTCGGCTCACGGCAAGCTCCGCCTCCTGGGTTCAAGTGATTCTCCTGCCTCAGCCTCCCGATTAGCTGCGACTCAGGCACCCACCACCACACCTGGCTAATTTTTTTGTATTTTTAGTAGAGACAGGGTTTCACTATGTTAGCCAGGATGGTCTCAATCTTCTGACCTCGTGATCTGCCCACCTTGGCCTCCCAAAGTGCTGGGATTACAGGGGTGAGCCACTGTACCCAGCCTAGATGCAACGATTTATCTTTCAACTTAAAAGGGATATCTTGACACCATTGGATCCCCTATTTCTCATTGGGGAGTTTCCTGTGATCAGTTGGCTGAGAAAGAGAAAATGGTCTTACATGATATAGATGTAGGGCACTAGGATTTCATCTGTGAATAGCCACTGTACTCCATCTTCGGCATCATAGTGAGGCCACCATTTCTAAAAAGCAAAAACCAAAAACTAGAATCAAGGGGGAAGGAATGGAATATAAAGTAGAATCAGACAAAACTTATCAATATGGACCCACTAAAGAGAGATTCCAGATTCAATTTCTTCAACTGAGGGGTTAGAAGAGCCTTTAACAGTTTAGTTGGTTGGCTGAAACATGAACCCAAGGGTGGCCTACGCCAAATAAAGTTAATGCCGGAACTGCTTCGATATACTGTAGAGGAAGATATCCAAAGACTTAGGGAGATTGGAATGTTAGAATAGATTTATCAAGTAAGACTTGCTGACCAACTCTGGGAGGGTCAACTGCACATCATGTTCACCATGACAATGAGAATAAAACATTGTGAAGGGATCCTCAGCATCCTTGAAGAGTTCTGTAGACACTCTTGTCTCTGTGTGTGTGTGTATAAAAGCTGGGTTATATATATATTATATATTATATTTTGTATATATATATAAGCTGGGACTACAGGCGTGTGCCACTACGTCCGGCTAATTTTTTGTATTTTTTGTAGAGATGGGGTTTCACCATGTTAGCCAGGATGGTCTCAATCTCCTTACTCTATATATATAGAGAGAAAGACAGTAGAATCACCAAACTGGGGTCCCTAAAGCAATGGGGATGATGAGATCCTGGAGTGGCAGGAACCAAATGGCAGCACTTAATCACCAGAGAAAAGGTGAGCCTGGTTACCATAATGGACTGGTGAGCCAAAGCAAGAATCAGAATAGACTGACTCACAGAGACCTCTGGCATTAACCAGTTGATCGTGGTCTCTTAGTACATTTTCTGTTGCTTACAATAGGACACCTGAAACTGGGTACTTTATAAAGAACTGAAATTTATTTCTAACTATTCTGGAGGCTGGGAAGTCCAGGGACATGACCTGACGTCTGCTGAGGGCTTCCTTTCTGGTAGGAATTCTCCGCAGAGTCCTGAGGTGGTACAGAAAATCACAGGGCAAGAGGGCTGAGCACACTAACATGCTAGCTTAGGTCTCTCTTCCCCTTCTTATAAAGCCACCAGTTCCACTCCTAATATAACCCATGACTCTGTTAACCTAAGAATCCATTAATCCATGAATGAATTAATCCATTCATGAGCTCTCATGACCTCATCTTCTCTTAAAGGGCCCCCCCTCTCAATACTGCCATATTGGGGATTAAGTTTCAACATGAGTTTTGGAGGGGACATTCAAACCAGAGCAGTCCCTTTGGGGAAAACCATGAGAAGGAACAGCAGTGTAAAAGTTCAGTAGTGTAGCAGGGTCCTAACTGAAGGGGACCTGGACTCTACTTCATTCAAGGGATTCTGGGTCTACAAACAGGCCCAAGTCTGGGAATTGATGGAGAGGCCACGACTCTGTTTTGGTGATTTGAGATACACTCTGCTCACTTGATCTAGACCTCTTCTACAGATCAAGTAGGAATAGAGTAGACTGCCCACCTATTTCCTTTGTAGGGATACCATGACCAACTAGCCAACACCCTAGGCGTGGGCTGGGAGACGAAAGCTGAGAAGGTAATGTAGCAGGAAGAGGAGCCGTAGACATTTGATCATTTCCTTATGCAACTTATGTCTGCAGGGCCTGCTCAAGTCTGATCTTACACATGCCATTTCTATTTGGTAATGGAGTACGGTTGTACATGCTCAGATTTATGGATTGGTGGGTCAGACAACACCCAGTTCATGAGGGGCAGTTCGGGTCACATGGTAAATTGGTGGCTCATAGTTAGGTGTTCAATCCTCTATTAAGGCTCGGTAGCAAGCCAAAAGCTGTTTCTCTAGGAGAATGGTTATCTGCAGAGGACGGCAGGACTTTGTTTCAAAATCCTAAGAATCTGTACTATGATTCATGTATAAGGGCTTACCAAAGGCTCCAAACAGCATCCCTATCTGCCACTTCAAGCACCATGAGATCTGCTAGATCACAGGGCTCAGGGGACAGAGTAGATTGCAAGGCAGTGTGGACCTGTTGTAATCTGCTTTTCCGGGCTGTACTCAAAACTAGCAGCTTGTACTGGGTGCAGTGGCTCATGATTGTGATCCCAACATTTTGGGAAGCTGAGGTAGGAGGATCACTTAAGGCCAGGAGTTCAAGACCAGCCTGGGCAATATAGTGAGATCTCCAGCTCTACAGAAAACAAAACAACAACAATAAAAACCCTAGCAGCTTTTCTAGTGACTCAGTTAGTGGACCCAAGTGAGAAATATGTTGCCTCCAAAATACAAATAGATAAACTAGTTGTTGCGTCTCTTTTTTGGCTGCAGGAGGGGCCAGATGCAACAAGTTACCCTTCAACTTAGAAGGGATATCTTGACATCACTGGATCCCCTATGCCTCATTGGGAAGTTTCCTATGGTCAGTTGGCTGAGAAAGAGAAAATGATTCTACATGATATACAGGCCATCACCTGAAAGTGGAGAGCTGCAGAGTTACAGCTCATTTCTGGGATATTCCCAGATGGCAGAGCTTCAAGCGGAGCACCTTGGTCATACATTTTGCCTGGAAAAAGAAATGGCTGGAGGCAAGTATCTATATTGATTTATGGGCTATCTTAGTTCAGGTTGCTGTAACAGAAATACCACAGGACAGCAGGCCTGAACAACAAATATTTATTTTTATTTATTTCTGTTTTTTTGAGACAGAGTTTTGATCTTCTTGTGCAGGCTGGAGTACAATGGTACGATCTCGGCTCACCGCAACCTCCGTCTCCCGGGTTCAAGTGATTCTCCTGCCTCAGCCTCCTGAGTAGCTGGGATTACAGGTGCACACCATCCTGCCCAGCTAATTTTTGTCTTTCTATTAGAGATGGGGTTTCACCGTGTTGGCCAGGCTGGTCTCAAACTGCTGACCTCAGGTGATCTGCCCGGCTCGGCCTCCTGAAGTGCTGGGATTACAGGCGTGAGCCACCGCACACAGCTGAACAACAATTTACTTCTCACAGTTCTGGAGGCTGGAAAGTCCAAGATCCAGGTGCTGGCAGTTTTGGCACCTGGTAAATGCAGTCTCCTGGTTTGCACATGGCCATCTTTTTGTGGCTTCTCACATGGTAGGAGAGCAGAGAGGAAGCAGGGTCTCTGTCTCTTTTCCTAAGGAGATCCTTTCCATGCAGGCTCCGCCCTCACTGCTTCCTAATACCATCACGTCGGGGGTTAGAATCTCAACATATAAATGTTGGGGAGATACAAACATTTAATCCATAACATGGGCTATCACCAGTGGTTTGGCTGGATGGCCAGAGACTTGAGGGAACATAATTGGAAAGTTGGTGACAAGGAGGTTTGAAGAAAGAGTAAGCAGATAGACCTCTCTGAATAGGCAAAAAAAAAAAGTGAAGATATTTATGTTCCACGTGAGTGTTCGCCAAATGGTAACCTCAGCAGAGAGAGAATTTAATAATAGGTGGATGAGATGGCCCACTTTATGGATACCAGTCAGCCTCTTTCCCCAGCCAGTTCCCTCATTGCCCACTGGGCTCATGAATCAAGTGGATATGGTGGCACGGGTGGAGGCTATGTGTGGGCTCAGCAGCATGCACTTCCACTCACCAAGGCTGACCTGGCTGCAGCCAGTGCTGAGTGCCCAGCCTGCTGGCAGTGGAGACCAACACAGAGACCCTCATAGGACCCCAGGGTTATCAGACAGCTACCTGGTGGCAACTTGATTACACTGAAGCATTTCCATCATGGAAGGGCCAGCTATTCTTACCAGAATAGCTACTTACTCTGGATACAGGTTTGCCTTTCCTGTACACAATGCTTCTGCTAAAACGACCATCCATGGATTTATAGCACACCTTATCCACCATCACGACATTTCACACAATACTTCTGATCACAGAACTCAATTCACAGCAACTGAAGTGTGGCAATGAGCCCCAGCTTATGGAACTCAGTCTTACCAGGTTCCCCAGATCCTCAAGCAACTGGTTTGATAGAGTGGTAGAATGTGTTTGTTTCTTTTTAAATTACAGACAGGGTTTCACTATGTTGTCCAGGCTGGTCTCAAATTCCCGGGCTCAAAAGAGGAATGACAGCTGGGAGCCACTGTACCTGGCCAGAATGGGCTTTTGAAGACTCAATTACAGTACCAACCAGGTGGCAATACGTCGTGGGGCACTGTCCTCTAGGAGGCTGGATAGGCTCCAAATGAGTGTCTAATACATGCTATTGTTTCCTCCATAGCCAGAATTCACGAGTCCAGGATTCAAGGGGTGGAAATGGGAGTGACCCCACTCACCATTGCCCGTAATGATCCACTAGCAAATGTCTGTCTGCTTTCCTTGTGACCTTAGGTTCTGCTGGTCTAGAGTCTTAGACTTAAAGGGAGGAATGCTTCCACCAGGAAACACAGCAATGATTCCGCTGAATTGGAATTAAGACTGAACCTCAACCACTGAGGCTCCTCGTGCCTCTGTATAAACAGGCAAAAAGGGGGTTTACTTTCCTAAGCAAAGAATACGGACATTTCTAAAAAGTTTGTTTAGAAGGGCACATTTTCTAGCAGTCCTTCTTATAAGAAACAGAAAGAAGAAATAAGCATATATGTGGGATGAGTCCCTCCCAAAGTTCCAAGATAAGTATTTGAGGAATGTGGTGGTCTTTTTATGTGTTAACTGGGTTAGGCTGCTTTCCCCAATTATTATTCAAACACGAATCTAGATGTTGCTGTGAAGGTACCGTATTTTACAGATGTGACTAAAGCCCATAATCATTGACTTTAGGTAAGAACAGTTATCCTAAATCATCAGGTAATTCAAATAGGTGAAGGGCTTTTTGTTTTTGTTTTTCTTTTCAGATAGAGTTTCACTCTGTCACCCAGGCTGGAGTACAGTGGCATAATCACAGCTCACTGCAGCCTCCACCGCTCAGGCCCAGGTGATCCCCTCCCTCGGGTTCCCCAGTGACTGGGACTAGTGGTGTGTGCCACGCCAGGCTTATTTTATTTTATTTTTTTTTTTGAGATAGAGTCTCGCTCTGTCACCCAGGCTGGAGTGCAGTGGCATCTCGGCTCACCGCAAGCTCCGCCTCCCGGGTTCACGCCATTCTCCTGCCTCAGCCTCCCAAGTAGCTGGGACTACAAGGGCCACCACCGCGCCCAGCTAACTTTTTGCATTTTTTTAGTAGAGACAGGGTTTCGCCTTGTTAGCCAGGATGGTCTCTATCTCCTGACCTCGTGATCCCAAAGTGCTGGGATTACAGGCATGAGCCACTGGGTGAAAGATCTTAAGAGCAGGGCTGAGGTTTCCCTGAGGAAAAAGAAATTCCACCTGAGAGCTTGCCTGTCCTTCCTGATGGCCTGCCCTGGGGCTTTCAGACTTTCCTAGCCATCCCCCACCATTGCATAAACGAATTCCTTGCACGGAATCCCTTCATATGTCAGCATACATATCCTACTTGCTCTGTTTCTGTAGTTGAACCATGGCTGGTACAAAAATAAAAACCTTTCTCTTTAAAGCCTCTCCCATTTCATACCTTCCCATCCACAGTAGGAACCCAAGAATTAGGCAGGAACATGTGGGCATAATTTCCCCAAGTTAATGGAAAAGCACATTGTGATGAAGACCTAGGGTTGAGAAGGCAGAGGGACCTCTGTTCTACAAAGTGAAAGATTAAAGTTGTGTTGACAAAAGGAACGTGAAGTACGTATGCAGCCCCTTTGAAAGTTAACTAATCCTTGAGGTGCAAGATGGGTCTAATTTTTTTCCTAACGTATTTGGGGGAGAGCAAACTGCACTCTGAAATGGGAGTCCCTTTTATCCTGAATGTCCTTTTTGTCCACTCTTGGGTCTCAGAGCTACCTCTTCTCTGTACCCAGTGGCAGAAAGTGAGGACAGCGGAGAGAGATGCTGGAGGCTGCACAATTTGTAGGGACAAGAGAGAACTAGGGCCAGGAGATTTCTGATAAGAGTGTTGGTGACAGAAAAATGGGGTTGGGAGATGCAGGGACCCCACTAGGGCTACAGAAGAAAGGGGGAATATGAGAAGGGAGAAAGGCCAGCGTTAGAAAAGGAAGGGACAGCCACACGGCTGTAGGGCAGCTCAGTGAGGTCCAGACTTTTGCTCAGGGCAAAAGGACAAAGTCTCAGACAAGGGACACAACGCCTCACCTTCCACACTTCCGACTCTGTAGGGTTCACGGTCATCATTGGAGCTTGGCGTACATACCTGCTTACTCTTGTTCAGGTGCTGAAGTCTAAAATAGGAAAGGACTTTTCAAAAGATGGCACTCAAGGCGAAGAAGGAAGCCCCTGCCCCTCCTCAAACCAAAACCAAAGCCAAAGTGAAGGCTTTGAGGGCCAAGAAGGCAGTGCTGAAAGGTGTCCACAGGACAAAGCCTCCCATGCACCTGCCCATTCTCCAGAGACCACGTCATCCACCTCTGGTGGCCCAAGACACTGCGACTCCAGAGGTAGCCCAAATATTCTTGGAAGAGTGCCCCCAGAAGAAACAAGCTTGACCACTATGCCAGCCTCAAGTTTCCACTGACCCTGAGGTGATTGCGGGGCTAAGGTCTCTGGAGAATGGGCAGGTGCGTGGGAGGCTTTGTGATTCTCCTCCAGGAATAAAGAGTATAAAGGGGCCACTGGTGGCCAGGCACGGTGGCTCATGCCTGTAATCCCAGCACTTTGGGAGGCTGAGGAGAGGGGAATCACTTGAGGTCATGAGTTCAAGACCAGCCTGGCCAACATGGTGAAACTCTGTCTTTACTAAAAATACAAAACTAGCCGGGCGTGGTGGCGGGCGCCTGTAGTCCCAGCTATGCAGGAGGCTGAGGCAGGAGAATTGCTTGAATCTGGGAGGCAGAGGTTGCAGTGAGCCGAGATCGTGCCATAGCACCCCAGCCTGGCAACAGAGCAAGACTCTGTCTCCAAAAAAAAAAAAAAAAAAGGTGGGGGGCATTGATGCTGCTGGAGAAGCAGCCACGAAGACAGAAGGCAACACACTTGTGTACACTGTGGATTGTTAAAGCCAACAAGAACCAGATGGAACAGGCTGTGAAGGAGCCAAGGTCAACACTGAGTCGACCTGATGGAGAGAAGAAGGGAAGGAGCTCCATGACACCAATGTGGCCGAGGCCAACACTGAATCGACCTGATGGAGAGAAGAAGGGAAGGAGCTCCATGACACCAATGTGGCCGAGGCCAACACTGAGTCGACCTGATGGAGAGAAGAAGACATGTGTCCACTGGCTCCTAATGACCATGCTTTGGAAGTTGACAACAAAATTGGGATCATCTAATCTGAGTCTGGCTGGCTAATTCTAAAGATATATTTGTATCTTTTCACCAGAAAAAAATACAAATAAAATAAAATAGAAAAGGGAAAACCCCCTTCTCCAAGATCAGGGGATTAGAAACGCCTTCTCTGAGGTTGCCAAGGGTGCAGGGAAGGGGACAAAAGAAAAGCGTCCTTTGCAAAGTGATCCAGAGAGCAGACAGTAAATGGAAGTTAAGAGGTTACAGATTTCAGCTCTGCCAAGAAACACCTTTGTGTTTTTTTTGTTTTTGTTTTTGTTTTTTTGAGATGGAGTCTCTCTCTTGTCACCCAGGCTGGAGGGCAGTGGCGCAATCTTGGCTCACTGCAAGCTCCACCTCGCGGATTCAAGTGATTCTCCTGCCTCAGCCTCCCGAGTAGCTGGGACTACAGGCTCCCGCCACCATGCCCGGCTAATTTTTTGTATTTTTAGTAGAGATGGGGTTTCACCATTTTAGCCAGGATGGTCCCAATCTCCTGACCTCGTGATCCGCCTGCCACAGCCTCCCAAAGTGTTGGGATTACAGGAGTGAGCCACTGCATCTGGCCAAGAAACACCTTTTGGTTTTTTTTTGGTTTTTTTTTGTTGTTTTTTTTTTTTTGAGACGGAGTCTCACGCTGTTGCCCAGGCTGGAGTGCAGTGGCGCGATCTCGGCTCACTGCAAGCTCCGCCTCCTGGGTTCACGCCATTCTCCTGCCTCAGCCTCCTGAGTAGCTAGGACTACAGGCGCCCGCCACCGCGCCCGGCTAATTTTTTGTATTTTTAGTAGAGACGGGGTTTCACTGTGGTCTCGATCTCCTGACCTTGTGATCCGCCCGCCTCGGCCTCCCAAAGTGCTGGGATTACAGGCTTGAGCCACCGCGCCCGGCCAAGAAACACCTTTTAAATGCTCATTACAAATAAACAGAAATGGGCTACCTTGGGAGGGAGGGAGTTTCTTGTCCCCGTAGGTGTTAGTTGACACAGGGTGACCACCTAGCAAGGGTGGCTTGGGAAGGATTCAAGCATTGGCCTCTAAGGCCCTAGTCAACAATATACTTTTCTATTTATTGAAGGACTTAGATATGGAGATAACTTTAAGAATACTTGGCACTAGGACTATAAAATATGCTATTATAAGCTCAGAATTAAAACTCATCATAGGCAGGCAGAGCTGGACAGGATTTTTTTTTTTTTTTTAGAACGAGGTCTTGCTATATTGCCCAGGCAGGTCTTGAACTCCTGGGCTCAAGCTATCCTCCCGCCTCTGCCTCCCTAAGAGCTGTGATTACAGGTGTGAGCCACCGTGCCCGGCCAGGACAGGATCTTCAAAATAATCTTGTCTAATGTCCCTCTTACCCTCCCCTCCAATTTCATATAAGTGAGAAAATACCCAGAAAGAAATGACTAACTCCAGATGACACAGCTGAAAAGTGGCCTAGAACCTGGAATTGGTGACCATGTTCCATCCATTTCTTAACATCTTCTTTTCGAGTGTCTTTATCGAAGCTGCCCAGCAATATCTGGAAACTCACCAGGAAAAAAATAATGGAAACAATTAAACCTTGACAAATGACAGCTTCTTCAGATATGGTTTAAACACAAAGAACTATAAGGAACTCAACTGCTCAAACTCCTTGATAACATCAAGGAAAAGGAGTCATTTCACATAAATCTCAGAGATGATGTCATCGAAACATACAAGTAGCTAGTGGAAGTTACAGCTCATCCTGAAGGAAATGATTCTTATAAATAGTTTTGATCTGGAGATACCATTTGGCGTCTTAGAATCATAGACTCTTGAAATGGGAAGGCCTGCCGCAGAGGCTATCGGATCCGGGGTGTGCTGGCCGCGCAGTGTCAGCAGGGTCAATGCCACTCATCACTCGGCTTCTATCAGACTTTGATAAGATAAACATGCTTACTGTGAAACTTCAAACAGTACAGAGAAGTATAAAAAAGACTTACCAGAAATCTCCCTGCCCAGAGTTAACCACTGCAAGCATTTTGATGACTGTCATTCCGTTTTCTCTAGGCACATGTTTACAGTCACACATCCATATTTTGGCAAAATTGGGACCAGAGTACAAATGCAGTTTGTCATATTCTTCTTTACACTAAACTATTTATTTATTTATTTATTTATTTTTGAGACAGAGTTTTGCTCTTGTTGCTCAGGCTGGAGTGCAATGGCACAATCTTGGCTCACTGCAACCTCCGCCTCCTGGGTTCAAGTGATTCTCCTGCCTCAGCCTCCTGAGCAGCTGGGATTACAGGTGTGTGCCACCACACCCAGCTAATTTTTGTACTTTTAGTAGAGATGGGGTTTCACCATGTTGGCCAGGCTGGTCTCGAACTCCTGACCTCAAGTGATCCACCTGCTTGGCCTCCCAAAGTGCTGGGATTACAAGCATGAGCCACTGCACCTGGCCCTACACTAAATCATTTATATAGCTTCACAATTTCATTTTAATGGCTGCATAGCAGACCACTGTATGAAGAGAACTTCATATAGTCAACCACACTCTGATTGATTGATCGATTCGGTGTCCTCAGTTTTTTACTAACTTGGAGGGTTAGTTCCTGCTTTAGGGAAAGAGCTCATCTTGGCCACCCTTGGGAATGTGAATTGACTTTGGAAACTAAAAGCACTTTGCTTCCTCCAAAGTAGTAAGTGTTTGGGGGTGATTGTGGGGCTAAGGTCTCTGGAGGATGGGCAGGTGGCCGGGAGGCTTTGTGGTTCTCCTCTAGGATAAAAAGAGTATAAAGGGGCCATTGGTGCTGCTGGAGAAGCTGCCATACTCCAGGGGAAGGCCTTAAGGATATGTCAGCACCTGGAGCCCATCCTGACCCCGGCTGACTTCCAGGTCGGCTTGCAAACCTGCCCTGGCTAACCTACCTCTGGAAAGAGCCAGAACTGAGGACTGGACCAGCTCCTGGTCCAAGGTCCAGCTTACCCAGGCCAGCTGCTGCTCTGCAAGCAGAACTCCACTTGTGCTTCCAGCAAGAGGCGTGGCTGCCTCATACTCACTAATGAAGGCCAAAGCTTTACCCACTTCTGGGCTTTGGCAGGTTACCAAGCAGCCAACTGCTCCTCCATCATCAACGCTTCCTCTTCACGTATAGTGAGAGACAACACCATCAATGAAGTCCTCCTGGGCTGTGTAACTTGGAGACTGAGGGGCTCTGGCACCCAAACTCTGGGGATACCCTGGGATACCAAAGTACCACCACCAATACCTCCAGCTGAGGTACTGGGGTATTGAGGGGAGGTGACAATGCCACAGTGAATACCTTTTTGACGTACGTCTTTACATATGGATCCAATTATCTCCTTCATATGAACTCCTCTAAGTGGCACTGCTGCGTCTGTGGGAAAATGCGGAACAAATCTTGCAGCAATGCTGGCTGGTGCCTGGGAAGGGACAGCTGGACCGCTGCTGAGAACCTTCACGAGGCAGCAACTTGTGACAGACGTAGCCACTGTTCAGAGCCTGGCCTTGTAGGTTCAGCACCCCACAGTCAATGGGACTTCCAAAGCTGACCCACTCAGAGGAGACTGGAGGGGACAAAGCGGAATGCCCAGGAGGAGTTTGTAATGAAATGTATCAATGCTGGGGAAGCAGGAGTTTGAGTCACCCTGACCAGCCTGCTCTCTTTTGTTATGGAAATCAGCACGGGAAGCCAAAATCACAATCAGAAGGCTAATGGTAAGCCTAGAATCCAGGAAGGGGAGTTAGTTTGGTGACCTGAATGATGGCTGGATGCATCGTCCATCCCGCCACTAGGGTAATATACACCCTTCAGGCGACAGTGGCGGCAAAGTAAAGTCAGGTGAGTTGTAAGTCAGAAACTGCTCTGTGGCTAAAGTGAACCCCTAGCCATTCTCCTGCAGAGTCCTTCTTCTATCTGGCAATACTCTGTGTGCTTGGGGACTCACAGCTTTTCTTGCAGATAGAGAGGGTAAAAAATCACACCATAGGCTGGGCGCGGTGGCTCACACCTGTAATCCCAGCACTTTGGGAAGCTGAGGTCGGTGGATCATGAGGTCAAGAGATCGAGACCATCCTGGCCAACATGGTGAAACCCCATCTCTGCTAAAAATAAAATAAAATAAAATAAAATAAAATAAAATAAAATAAAATAAAAGCCACGTGTGGTGGCAGGCGCCTGTAGTCCCAGCTACTCGGGAGGCTGAGGCAGGAGAACCACTTGAACCTGGGAGGCGGAGGTTGCAGTGAGCCAAGTTTGCGCCACTGCACTCCAGCCTGGGTGACAGAGCGAGACTCTGTCTCAAAAAGAAAAAAAAAAAAAAATCACACCATAGGGCCCTATTTTTTTAAAAAAGCCCATCCATATCTCACTTTTTTTTTTTTTTTTTTTTTTTTTTGAGACAGAGTCTCACTCTGTCACCCAGGCTGGAGTGCAGTGGCACAATCTCAGCTCACTGCAAGCTCCGCCTCCCAGGTTCAAACTATTCTCCTGCCTCAGCCTCCTGAGCAGCTGGGATTACAGGCACCTGCCACCATGCCCGGCTAAATTTTTGTATTTTTAGTAGAGATGGGGTTTCACCGTGTTAGCCAGGATGGTCTCCGTCTCCTGACCTGGTGATCCGCCTACCTCGGCCTCCCAAAGTGCTGGGATTATAGGCGCAAGCCACTGCACCCGGCCCATATCTACTTTTCTTATTCATTTATTCATTTATTCACTCAACTAATGATGGTTGAGTTCTGTGCAGGTCCTGGGGAGACAGAAGTGAATAAAGTAGATACATTTCCTGCTGTCGTGGAGTTCATATTCTGGTGGGAGAGAAAGACAGTAGACATGTAATTAAATGAATACACAATGATTGTGTATTTGATTACACCATTAATTAAATAGGACAATTTCGAACTGTAAAAATCTATATGCGGCTGGGCGCGGTGGCTCACCCCTGTAATCCTAGCACTTTGAGAGGCTGACATGGGTGGATCATGAGGTCAGGAGTTCAAGACCAGCCTGGCCAACATGGTGAAACCCCGTCTCTACTAAAAATACAAAAATTAGCTGGGCGTGGTGGTGGTGTACTCCTGTAACCCCAGCTACTTGGGAGGCCGAGGCAGGAGAATCACCTGAACCTGGGGGTGGAGGTTGCAGTGAGCCGAGATCATGCCACTGCACTCCAGCCTGAGCAACAGAGTGAGACTCTGTCTCAAAAACAAACAAACAAAAAAAGTCAGGAGCAAGTCAAGAGGAACATGGATAAAATCCTAGGTTAGTGTCACCGAAAATCTAACTGGGGTACCGTAGGTCTCAGCTGCATGATTTCCCTCCTGTGTCTCACCATGAACTGAGATTTGCTGGAAATGCCCAGGAGGGTGGGAAAGAACATAAATTTCATTGTCTTCTCAGCCAAAAAGAAAAAAAAAAATCCTCTATGGCCTGATGCAATTAAAAAAAAAAAAAAATCCATGTGGTGTACTGCCCCAGGATCTCAGAGATTAGATGTAGAGACCCAGGTCATGTCCCAGAAGGGAAGAGTAAGGGAGGAAGAACTCTTTTCAGGGATTGATAGGGTGAATGACTGGAAGTTTCTACAATGGAAAAAAAAAAAAAAAAAGGCTGGGTTATCATTCCTGTCATTGCTATTATTGTTGTTGTTATCAAAAACATGTAAATAGTCCTCTTCAATTACTGTCCCTCTTAAACAATAAAGGTGACAACAGAGATTTCCTCGGGCATTTGCAAACCCAAAGAGAATATTGTTATTCACTAGCAGCTTTGCTTCAAGGGATCCAGCAGTGACTGTGGGATCCAGAAGATTCCAGGGGAAGGTCTAGGTGTGTTGTTTGAGTGACTGAAGAGGGTCAGAGGGCCCTTTAGAGAAACGGTTCTGGCAGAGTGGGGAAGGCACTTTCGGGGGAGAAGGGGCCGTCTGAGCAGTTCCGGTGGCACACAGTGAGGAGAGATGGTGAGGGAAGAGAGCAGAGGCCAGAGGAGAGGCGCGGTGGCATCAGACACCTATGACAGGGCAGGATGGGAGGAGGGGTGAGAAAGAGGGGGCTGCGAGACGTCTCTGAAAAGAAGACCTGAGTGATGGGTGGGAAGTGGGGTCACCTGGACAGTGACATAACATCTGTGTTAACCAGGGCTGTTGGCAGCAGCCGCAGCCCGCCCTCCCCACTCCCAATCTCGGTTTTGGACACAACAAAAACTTATTTATTTCTCTTTCATTTCCAGGTAGGATGTGGGGGGAGCTGGCGGGGGCGGCACTCCAATGAAGCTGTCTTCCAAACTGGGCATCCTGGCTGTGCCCATGTGTGTCTTCACCATCTTGGAATCCTTTGCTTCCGGCCGGATGGACAGAAGAGCAAGCAAAACTTTTCCTTCACCATCACGAACCGGAAGTGAGCTGTAACTTCTGTTTGCTTCTGTCGGTAAAAATTCATCACACGGCCATGGCTTGGGAGCACAGTAGAGGCCCTGCAGCCCAGGCCTTGTGTGGCCATTCAGACACTGGCCCATCAGCAGGGAGCTGGTCACTGTAGGAGTCGGGAGGTGTTAGTCTCTGTGAGCAGAAGGGAGTTCCCTTGGGTGCCTTCTCACTCCAAATCACACCATGCTGTTCTGTCTGGAGAGTCCCTGGCTAGGCTTCGGGTTTGGAGGACACCAGGGACAACTGAGGCTCTGGTAGTCCCCCCTTGTAGATGGCAAAACCCTGTACTGCAGGCGCCTTGTTGTTTATGGGGGTCAGTGTGCCCTTTCATACTCCTTCCAGCACGAAGATTTGAGGGTGAATGCTCGGGGCTCTGGATTCTTACCCTCTCTCCCACAACTTACCCTCCGACCCCACGGGAGTCTCTTCTTCCTGGGCCTTGGCTTCCCCGGCTACAAAGGGAATGGGCTGGCCTGCATGACCTTTAATGTTTTTCCAGGCGCGAGAGTCTATGTCCCCTTACGGACAAGCTCGAACCACCTCATTTCTGCATCTCCTGAGCTCTTGGAAAGGAGCGAGGCCTGGAAGACCTTCTGGGGTTCCTGCTGTGAGCTTCGGCCCTACCTGATCCTACCTAAAATTGCATCAACAAAATCAGAGACTTCTTCAGCTCGTCAGCTGCTGGCAGCCATTCAAAAAGTGCATGATCACACGTATGTTTATTGCAGCACTATTCACAATAGCAAAGACTTGGAATCAACCCAAATGTCC